CTATTAATTTGGAAGTTTAATACATAATTTAGAAGTTCCTACTGAGGGGAGGGGGGTAAATTTTGACGGCGTTAAGGGGTGGTAAATTTTGATTAATTTAAGTCGGGAGGGCTGCATGAGAAGCTTGCAGTGGCAACTTGGAACTTGGGAACCATCTCAGCATTTGCTTGAAGACAGAGGAAAACCAAGGAAAACCTGTGTCGAGATGGCCGGTCGCAGGACCTTCCGGATGCGCGCTGACTACTAGCCAGCGGTCCGGCAGACAAAAGAGGAATTTGTGCCATGGGCTCTATTGATAAAGTCAGGTACATGTGGTGAGAATCATAGTTCGTCTGATTAATATTTAATAATTCAGTCCGTACCGCGAAGAAAACACAACTATTCACCATTACAAAGATCAACTGGTTAACGCTGTTTAAGAAATAATCGCTGTTTACACTGAGAACCATATTTCGTCTGATTAATATTTAAGAATTCAGTACGTACCGCGAAGAAAACACAACTATTCACCATTACAAAGATCAACTGGTTAACGCTGTTTAAGAAATAATCGCTGTTTACACTGAGAACCATATTTCGTCTGATTAATATTTAAGAATTCAGTACGTACCGCGAAGAAAACACAACTATTCACCATTACAAAGATCAACTGGTTAACGCTGTTTAAGAAATAATCGCTGTTTACACTGAGAACCATATTTCGTCTGATTAATATTTAAGAATTCAGTACGTACCGCGAAGAAAACACAACTATTCACCATTACAAAGATCAACTGGTTAACGCTGTTTAAGAAATAATCGCTGTTTACACTGAGAACCATATTTCGTCTGATTAATATTTAAGAATTCAGTACGTACCGCGAAGAAAACACAACTATTCACCATTACAAAGATCAACTGGTTAACGCTGTATAAGAAATAATCGCTGTTTATTCTGTGAATCATAGTTCGTCTGAATTATATTTAATAATTCAGTCCGTACCGCGAAGAAAACACTACACTTCACCGTTACTAAGATCAGCTGGTTAACGCTGTTTAAGGAAATAATCGCTACCCATGCAATTTGTCTAATGATCCACAAGTTTCCTGGTTCAAATGGTTAAGCCCTACGGCATTCTTGTACTATTTGCATCCGTGACACCCGTTCCGGACGAAATTTCCATATTTCTTTGCATATTTCTACCCTTTCGTAAACTTCTCTTTGCTTTATTCAGTTGTCTTAATGCTTCTTCCTCAAAACACTAGTTTAAGATGCGTCCCAGAATTTTTTTTTTAGTAAATAACATTGCGTTTGATGGGTCACATCTGAATTATCCACGAATCAATGACCCAAACAACAAACTTGCGCAGATGAATGCGAACCCCTAGTTGAAAAACACAGCTCCGAATTCTGTCAGAGAACCAAGAAACTCGCCTTGCCAAAGGCCACAGTTTTCGGTAAACACCTTTCTGACGGTACGTCGAACTTTCTGTTACGTTAACCAAATTAACATTTAACTTTTATTCCGGTTCTTAAACACTGTTGGAACGTCAGCCAGCCACTTAAACTGTGTAATCTACGTGAAGTGTCTCTTAACTGTGTTTACTTTAAGATAATAGACCTGACACATCTTCCGCGTGTGTAGTTGAGGACGGGCGACACGTGGTGGTCCTCCAGGTTGTGGGTTGGGCGTCGGGTTGATAAATATTCGGAAGAATCATTCAAAAATTTTGTGTGGGCGGAGGTTAAACGTGGATGCAACCGTCTTTGGGATCGAGTCCAGTGCCAGGCTTCCGTATTAACATTATTTAACTTTAGATTCTCTTCCATTCGACCAAGAACACGAACAAACGAAGTCAAAAATTAAAACTAGAACGTAAAGTAAGTTTTACAAGAAGATTGCTGAACAGACGGCAGGCAATGAGGATTAATGAAGTGACAAAAGACTGGAGAAAACTACATAAAGAGAAGCTCCATATTTATATCCTTCGCCTGATGTTAAGGATGCTTATCTCATGGAGGATAAGATAAGTGGGGCATGTATCACAAAGGAGAGATAAATACGTCCAAAGTTCGGGAGAAAAAAAAACTGAAAATGACTATTGGAGGTCGGTGAGAGGGTATAGAGTGGATTCATGTGGCTCTGGATATAGTGCTCTTTCGGGCTGTTGTCTAAGCCAGTGGTTCTCAACCTTTTTGGTTCACGTACCCCCAGATATAATTTCTCTTCAACTTTGTACCCCCAAAGTTGTTGGTGTATAATTCAAATTATACATAGTATATAATCTACATCTAAAATAAATTAAATAAATTACATTACTGATTATTCAGTATTTATCATATTTTTTAAATTTCACGTCCCCCTTAAGATGTCTTCGCGTACCCCCGGGGGTAAGCGTACCCCAGGTTGAATACCACTGGTCTAAGCGGTAATGAACCGTGAGGTTCCATATAAGGCGGCAAAACTTGTGTCTATCTGAGCGATTATTATATTTTTAAGAAAGCTTTTTTTGTTTTAGTTGGTGTCTCAGTCCTTCCAACCTAGTACCGGATTTTTCCTCGTGACCTTTTATTAAGCCTTCTTCACACTCCACCGCAAGCGAAGAACGTGTATGTTTGTCGCGTTTCTCGCGGTAACATTAGCGCAAGAATAACCCAAGACGCAACAACGACCTCGGATCACGTTACGTAATGCGCCACGTGTGTGAAAAACACCTCTTGAATGTCATTGTACTCCAAAGAGTGCAACATTCCACATCCCTTCCCATTCATTATTCAGAATCAACCCACTGTACCAAGCGACATACGGTCTCAGCAGTTGATACAACGAGCAGCAAACACTCCCCTTCCTCGGACCCAGACTACGGGTCAAAATTTAGACGCGCGATGTGTTACGTCACTTCAACTCACCTTTTCGAAGCGTACGTTAGGTCACAGCGACACGTAGCGTACTTGTAATATTACGTTTCAAAATCTAAAAATAAATAGATGCAAAGCAGAAACTGGGCAGACGTCAAAGACAGTAAGTAACTACGATTTTGTGTCTGATTGTGCGCGTATTACTCATCGTTTGTGTATTTCTGTCATTCTGATGGAGGCGAGTAGTAATTTCCATTTAATTCGTGTTAAAATGTTAGAGCCCCTGAGGATTAGCTGACACATCATACGTGAGTTTATGCTGTATTTATTTTAACCCCTTGAAAGTGAAGCTCATGTACATTACATTTAAACAATTAATTCCCTACCGCAAAGAAATCAAAGGACAGATTTTTTCATTGTTAAAGGAAATAATTGTTATTTATTCAGATAATCATAAGAAACACAAAAATACACTCTCTAGGCAAAATACAGAGATACCTTTTGTTAAAGCTGGTGTTACGTATATTTACACCTGGGTTTTAAATGTTCAATATTCATTACTCTTGGTTTACGCAACGCTGAACCTTATTTTATTCACAGTTAAATGTTTAAAATGACAAAATTTTGGTCATATATATATATATATATATATATGTACCAAAGTAGGAAAAAGATTAATATGCGACAAAGTTTTAGACACATTGTTTGTTGTGCCTCGTGATACAGTTAAATTAAATAATTCGAATTACATTTTAAAGCCAAACTTGTTTATTGTTTGAAGCTTAAATTCAACAGAAAAACTCACAAGTAAGTTGCTTAATAAAATATCTGAGATTCTGCAATTCATTTAGGCTACATCTGACTTATATTTTATCCATCCGGAACTAATTTGGTATTAAGTTTTTTTTTTAGCGAAGGGGGGGGGTGCTCTTTTATCATAAATAATACCATAAAATTTACCAGATATTTAAAAAACATTACCAAATTCCCGCAAGATTTATCTCTGTGCTACTGACACTAAAATATGGATTCAATTTGTTCCAGAATGTGGATGACATTCCAACCAAGCGTGGACAATGTCCTTCTAACTTACAAGTCCAGCACGACTTCTGGGACAGCGAACACAGCGACAATGAATGTCAGGTAAGTAAGGCGACGCGAATCTAAGTGAAAACTTAAACATTTTCTATATAATCTTGGGACAGCTCAATATTTCAGTGAATTTTCAAATATAATAAAATTTGTGGAACACGTAGAAAGCATTAACATAAAAAATGCGTACAAAATTTTATTTCTAAAACACTCGTCAGACTTTCTTGTAAAATGCGCACCTACATTGAAATCTGTCATCGCTCAAGTGAAATGTACTTGCAGTATGCATCTAACCAAGTTCTCTTCACTGATTGGATAAACGACACCGGAAATTAAAGAAATCCCATCAAACACTAATATGATGCACTAGATAATTGAAACTATGACCTCCAATAGACGAAACGTGAGGGCTCGGCTGTAATCAATCAACGCAGTTCTTTGTAAACTGTGGCTTCTTTAAGCTCTGTTTTCTTCTCATAAATGTGACGCACTGCAATACATCACTTACTGTACCCCCATTAAGATCATCAAATCATCGGATTGAAACACGTCAGACGGTTTGGAAACAAATGAAAACTAGGTCATGATACCACAATCGTAATAAATATACCCGTAAAGAAGAAATAGAACTTAAAAGTGTTATTCAACTTTATTCTCAGATTTTATTTATGAACTCCGCTCTACAGGGTGGGTGGAAAGTAAGTAGGCATTAAATAATCGCTATACATTGGAAATATAGAGGTTATAACCATTTCTCAATGCCTACTTACTTCCCACCCACCCTGTATATATTAAAGGGGTATTTCACTACTCAACAAACACGCAGAGTCAACCACAGAGAGACCAAGTTTCACACCCATACAAAATAAATGCAAATTTTCAATATAAATCCATATCTGGTGCCACGAACAAACACGAAGATATCGTTTCAATCTTATCTTAAATTCACTGCTGTTCATTACGATGAAGAGAAACTTTTAATTTGTAGGAAGACGCAGAGAAGGCCCGAGCTCCGGTGTACCTCGACGCTGCAAAGCTGGGAGACTTTCCTGCTCGCTACGTGATATCCGCCCTCAAGTCTTACGAGTTCCCAGCAATAGGAGTGTACGTGGACCCAAGAATTGTACCGGGGTTTAGATACAAAGTCAGACCCATTCAAAAGTAGGAAAAAGATTAATATGCGACAAAGTTTTAGACACATTGTTTGTTGTGCCTCGTGATACAGTTAAATTAAATAATTCGAATTACATTTTAAAGCCAAACTTGTTTATTGTTTGAAGCTTAAATTCAACAGAAAAACTCACAAGTAAGTTGCTTAATAAAATATCTGAGATTCTGCAATTCATTTAGGCTACATCTGACTTATATTTTATCCATCCGGAACTAATTTGGTATTAAGTTTTTTTTTTAGCGAAGGGGGGGGGTGCTCTTTTATCATAAATAATACCATAAAATTTACCAGATATTTAAAAAACATTACCAAATTCCCGCAAGATTTATCTCTGTGCTACTGACACTAAAATATGGATTCAATTTGTTCCAGAATGTGGATGACATTCCAACCAAGCGTGGACAATGTCCTTCTAACTTACAAGTCCAGCACGACTTCTGGGACAGCGAACACAGCGACAATGAATGTCAGGTAAGTAAGGCGACGCGAATCTAAGTGAAAACTTAAACATTTTCTATATAATCTTGGGACAGCTCAATATTTCAGTGAATTTTCAAATATAATAAAATTTGTGGAACACGTAGAAAGCATTAACATAAAAAATGCGTACAAAATTTTATTTCTAAAACACTCGTCAGACTTTCTTGTAAAATGCGCACCTACATTGAAATCTGTCATCGCTCAAGTGAAATGTACTTGCAGTATGCATCTAACCAAGTTCTCTTCACTGATTGGATAAACGACACCGGAAATTAAAGAAATCCCATCAAACACTAATATGATGCACTAGATAATTGAAACTATGACCTCCAATAGACGAAACGTGAGGGCTCGGCTGTAATCAATCAACGCAGTTCTTTGTAAACTGTGGCTTCTTTAAGCTCTGTTTTCTTCTCATAAATGTGACGCACTGCAATACATCACTTACTGTACCCCCATTAAGATCATCAAATCATCGGATTGAAACACGTCAGACGGTTTGGAAACAAATGAAAACTAGGTCATGATACCACAATCGTAATAAATATACCCGTAAAGAAGAAATAGAACTTAAAAGTGTTATTCAACTTTATTCTCAGATTTTATTTATGAACTCCGCTCTACAGGGTGGGTGGAAAGTAAGTAGGCATTAAATAATCGCTATACATTGGAAATATAGAGGTTATAACCATTTCTCAATGCCTACTTACTTCCCACCCACCCTGTATATATTAAAGGGGTATTTCACTACTCAACAAACACGCAGAGTCAACCACAGAGAGACCAAGTTTCACACCCATACAAAATAAATGCAAATTTTCAATATAAATCCATATCTGGTGCCACGAACAAACACGAAGATATCGTTTCAATCTTATCTTAAATTCACTGCTGTTCATTACGATGAAGAGAAACTTTTAATTTGTAGGAAGACGCAGAGAAGGCCCGAGCTCCGGTGTACCTCGACGCTGCAAAGCTGGGAGACTTTCCTGCTCGCTACGTGATATCCGCCCTCAAGTCTTACGAGTTCCCAGCAATAGGAGTGTACGTGGACCCAAGAATTGTACCGGGGTTTAGATACAAAGTCAGACCCATTCAGGATCAGGTAAAATATATAAAAGAATTTATCAACGATCAATGCCAAAAAAGTTTGCGACTATAATGACGTATTGATATCAGCGTTTCACGTGTTACATGAATACTATTCCTGAAATTATGTTGAATTTAATTGTAAACATTTACTATCTTTTCAAAAAAAAAATTATTTTAATCTAGAACTACACTTCAAATGTTCTAAACCAGTGGTATTCAACCTGGGGTACGCGTACCCCCGGGGGTACGTGAAATTTAAAAAAAAAAATTATGATAAACATTGAATAATCAGTAATATAATTTATTTTAGATGTAGATTATATACTATGTATAATTTGAATTATACACCAACAACTTTGGGGGTACAAAGTTGAAGAGAAATTATATCTGGGGGGTAACGCGAACCAAAAACGTTTGAATGCCACTGTTCTGAACACGTGTACACTGCATTTTATAATGTTAAGTGCAGCAGGGAACGATTAATCTTAGTGCATTCTACTGATATTAAGGTTGTTCATTACAAAATAAACGAGTTTCGTATGTGGGTCACTCAGACCAGAAACTAGAGCGCACGGATATTTCAAATGGAATCTGTTGTCACTGTTTCAGAACAATTCTCAAGCAGTACCAAAGCACTTGTTCAACGGATGTGCTCTTCAGCTGCAGAATATAGGACGAGGGTACTCGCGAAGACTCACTTTCCAAGCTGACGCAAATAAACTTAACGACAACGATAATTATTTCTGGTCTGACTCTAGACCTGAAGGTTTTGCGTTTGAATTGCAAGTGGTGTCACCTGGCGACAAATTTACGTTACACGATGCTAATCACGTTGCTGCCGGCACACTCGAAGTTCTACAAAATGACGTGAGTTGAAGCAGAATGTGTTCTTTTGTACATCTTTTCATTATTCTGTACCAACTCCAGAGGTTATACAGCATTGAATTATTATTATTCATGGCTTTACAACGCTGTCACTAGTAACACTTAATGATTGCAAAGGATGACGTAATTTTTGTTACTATACCAGTATTTGCCTGGAGGACCACAGAAAACCAAGAGTAATATCACTCAAGATAGCTGATTTCTGAGCCAAGATTTGAACCCAGGACCTCCTGAATTCAAAGCAGGAGTGCCAACTACTCACATATTAAATATACTCTGACTTAATGTTTGTAATTAGATTTTAAAACAATAACTGCGGGATTTTAACCTCAAAACTGAAACACGAAAATTACCACACCACAAGAATCAAACCCAGAACTGTTTTTATTTATCATTAAATTGAGATTGGAGAACAAAGAAATGTGGCACAACAGTTTTTCTATTGTTTTTAGCCGTTACATGATAATAAAGCTTGCGAAAGTACCAAATAAATCTCATTATGCATTAAACGATGTATATAGTTGCCTAACAATAAAACAGCAGTGAAAACCAAACATCAAGCATTAAAATATATACGATTTCCTAGGAAAAAGATCAGGCAAACATGATGAAAGTAAACGGGAGGTAGAAAAGAATTCATATTATAGAATATAGTTTTCAAAAGTTGAAACTGATAAAGACTATTTTTTCCTCCTATAGACTCCTCAAGAAGAAGTGAGCCAATTGGTGCTCAACGACGGTTCTATCGAGAAGACAGTGCGGATTCGTGCACTGTGCAAAGTTGAATGGTTTGAAAATGGGCAGTCTGCAATTGTTATGCCAGTAAGTATTTCATTTCTGCCAGAAAAAAAATGGACAAAAAATTACACTACATTACAATTCACACTTTCAACATTTATACACCGGTGAAATAATGTTACAGATTCGTGGTCTCGCCGTGGCAGTTAAACCCAAAGACGGGCGACGTAATGCCAGTGTGACCCGCGTAGTGAACGTAACGATGGGAAGTCACCACAGGAGAGGTTTTACGCTAATTCCGGGGGTTAATGACAAATGGCGTCGCACTACTGTACTAGGAGAATCTATCAGAGACATACCCACACGCTACACCATTACTGGTCTAGAAGCCCATGAGCTACCAGTTATTGGTGAGTTGATATATCGATAATTCCCATCCAGTGGTAAATTATTGTGTATGAGAAAGCTGGTCTCAGCAGAAGAACATGCCACACAGTGCATCTTCCGTCATAATTCAAATGTATTTCTTTCAAGCAACTAATGATCACCCTGTATTTCAGGAACGTATGTTGATCTGCGCATCATGCCTGGCTTCCACTACAGGGTGCGACCCGCTGGCAGCAAAAGGCTGCTGTTTGAAGGCCAATCACTGAGGCTAATCAGCATTGGACCAGGTTACGGGAAAAGAATTGCCTTCGCACCAGACGCGAAGAATCTCAATGCATCCAATAATTTCTTTTGGAGTGATTCTCATCCTGATGGACTTGGGTTTGAACCAAGAGCAGTGCATGCAGGGATGAAATTTGAAGTAAGAGCAGCTGGACAGAGGCTCGGAGAAGGGTCCGTGTTCAG